GAAATTGCGAGCCAGAAACGATGTACATAACGTTGGCAAATCACTTTTATTTTTCGCTTGTTGCTGTTACATCAAAAGCAAAAATATCCCCTTTCTCGCATTTCCGCATCCGTTTTGCTCCCTCTATTTCTCTCGTTCTGTTGCAATAAACGGAAAATTATTCAGCATTAGCAGAGAGAGAGAGAGAGAGCTACGATAAATTAAACTTTGGAAAATCACGCACCGCGTTTTAGTGATCGTGTATCGCTTGTAATATCGTTTGGTATCCAGTTAAAGGAACGCACAAAACACATGTATCGCGCACACATCGCTGGAGATTCATTTGCCATCGATCCATTAATGTTTTCAGTATCATCGAGCAGAGCGACATCCCGCTTTCGTTCCGCCATACGACGTATAATAATCGCAGTTACGCTCTACTAATCACATGGATACGTAATCAGTATTTGAACCATATTTTTCGGAAAATGCGCAATAAGCTGGAGGGTAAGAGAGGGCGGAAGGGAAATGCATTGTCCGATGCATCGGATTCGCTTCGCGTTAATCGTTATTAATGAATTGCCAATAATACGATTTTTGTGCTCGCGTATCCGGATTACGGAAAGATAGAAATCTGGTAGCGATCTCGTATATCATATGATGCATTCGTGCATTTTTCGAGGGCTTTGACGCGGATAAATTTTTTGACCTCTTGCGAGGATGGGGCAAATAGTTGAGGAAGAAATCCATCGTAAATCCATCTCTTTCGTGGAAAACTTAGTTCCAGTGCGTCGAGCTGGAAGTTGACTTAAGCTGTACGAAGGAAGAAAGCTCGCCCGTTCGCTTCTCATTCTCGTATATGAAGTGTTCCGAAAAATGCACCGTAGAAATGAAGCATATTCTTTGGAACGTGATTTTAAAGTAGAATCTTGCTTCATAATTCCATTGCTATTTTAATTAATCGGTTAATCACATATTGAAAAGTATATATAAGTACTTGTTATGGAATTACATAAACAGTTCAATAATCATCAACTCTTTAATTTATTCGAAATAGAGTTTTTCGAATTCGAATCGAAATGTAATTGACTGTTATTAATGAGATATATTAAAAGATTTTAATATTACAAATAATAGAACAAAATTCTTTAAATTTTCTTCGGAAAGAGAACATTTGCCACGTTCGTTAAAACAAATCCCATCCTGTATCCAACTGTCCAATTTTTGTTAAAGCCTTGTAATCGCCAATAAATCTTTGCTTCGGCAAAGGAGCTTAATTCATTAATTTGCAACAGGGCAATTATCGATTTTATGGCTCCCAATAACTCATATATCTCGTTTGTATCCTTTGATAAGATCATCTCATTCTTTTTATATTTTTATCCTATCCTATTGTATGGTGTATTTACGCATATTATAATTACGAAAATCTAATTACGATCATCTGTCTGCAATCTAAAATAAAGGGATATATTTTCGGGATGCAAAACGTAGAGTGGTAATTAATTTTTCGCTTTATACATATGAGGTATTATTTCGAATAACTTGGCGCTTTCACGATACGAGATATACGACATAACATCATTTGATCTAATTGTAAATATATTTATACGTATGCGTCATCGAGACTTTGTACGATCGGTTCACTCGTGTGAGCTTGTGTGCATCCAATTGCATCGAGGAGCAGTGCATGCAAGAAACGATATGCTCTGATGTGCCAATATATATGTATACACATATCGATGCTTTTTGAGGCTGCAGCTCGAGACATCTGGAATTTATTCCTTTATTCCCTTATTAGGTTCGAGGTTACTTGTTGATGGAAAAGAGATTCCGCGAGTGCAAATATTTTCATCTCAAATATAGCTTTTTCTTTGTAATGACATCTATTTTTACGCGCCGATTATTTAGACACGAAGTCGAGTAATATCTCAAAGATTTACAAAGATAAGGATTACACTTTCAAAGGGGTAAATACACATCGCGTAACTAAAATGTATGTAGAGGGTATAAAGAAAATAAATGGTCTGTTACGATGTCTCGTGCACCGTATTTATAATCGATTATATTAATATTCATGAGAATATATTGAGGGAAGTGCTCAAACAAAACTTGCAATGTATACAGTACATATACTTGATTCTCGAACAGAGATTAAAGCTGCATGTACATTTATCTAATTTTGCAAGTTCAATTATTATTAATTTTAGATATTCAGAATAAAAAACAAAAGATCTAGTAAACTTAATATGCGCATGCAAACGCAATACATTTAAGTATTTAGTCGCCATACGAACGGGAATAATATAACATTTATGCCAGGAAATTCTGGGTGTTTCAAACTTCTTGTTATGCCGTTATAGCGTCTATTGCTCCTATATATATATATATATATATATATATATATATATATATACACACGCTTAAATCCTGGAGGTATAGATTCTGTTTAACTCGGAGATTATTGTAAATACATTGCAACACTCATGTAGATGATTTTCGGGTAATATGCAGTGGCCATTTAATAGTGAATTTCGATTCTACAATGTAATCATTGAATTCCAAAGGAGATATTATTAATGATTTGTTTACAATAAATTTAAATAGATTTAAATATATTATAGAAATACAAAAGTAATAAAAAAATGATGAAAAAAAACACATATTATTACTAAAGAAAATATAATTTATTTGATACACGTTTCTGTTTAAATTTCTCGCAAGCGGCAAAATAGGACGATGCGATGCAGTTTTTGATAACTACGCGAAACGCTGTTTTTCTATCAAACGAGCTGTGCGAACACGCGCTACGAACCATGCGGTTTGTACATGCGGTTTGAAGTAGGAGACTCTGAATATTCATGGCAAATACTCGCGACTTCTTCCGAAACGAATGTATTCCGCGTTTTAACAGTTTCCGAGTGCGCTCTCTTCGATCCCCATTTATTTACTCGTCGTCTCTGTCCGCGCTTAACAATCGATAGTATTTGGACCATCGTCCGCGTCGCGAATCGTCGCGAATCGTCGATGCGTGTTGTAGTATGTACGAGTGTGCCTGACGCTTTGTAACCTGTCGCCTAGTAATTTCCCACCTCGAAATTTACTCGATTTCTGCCTTATTTACTCTTGTCTGACCTACTTTCCCATTCGCTCTTTACGTCATTTATTTCATCGCGCACCGTCTCTCTCTCTCTCTCTTCTTCCCTTCCTTCTCTCTCTTTCTGTTCCACCTCGTAAAAGCGATCGAGTAATTCGAGAATGTGACGCCAATAACTATACCGATCCGACCATCTCGTTGCAACGTACGGCGGAATGTCACCAGAATGGAGTTTCGAAATTGCCTCTGAACTTGTCGGAAGCAGAAGTGCCAGTCCCAGGTGATTGGTAACCGGGGAGGATACGTGACTTTACGACAAACGCTCCGTCACATTAATGTTTCGGGATTGCGAAAGAATATGATGTGTTTTTTGGGCGGGAAAAACTCTACTCTCTGATGCTACTGAATATATAAAATCGTTGATAAAGATAATTTATAATTCGTGTGACAGAATTTCGTTTATAATTTTATATATCTCGTAAATGCACGCACGAAAGACATTTCAGAAAAAATCCGAATATATATACACGACGCGCAAAATGATGATTAAAATTTTATCCCGAGTTTCGTTGCAAATTATAAACCGTCTAAAGTTGATTAATATCGATAACACATGTAAAGGTATATGTATTAAAAAAAAAAATTCCAGAAAAATATGAAAATTTTCAACATTTGTATAAGCAGCACTGTGCTATTTAATTTTCAGTCAGATATTTTTCACGAGAAAATAACTCTTGTATATTAAAATTTTTATGAAAAAAAATGTATTACAATAAAATTTGTATTAAAAATACTCGTTTAAAACATTCTTCGAGCTTGTGATCTCGCACTATTTAAATCGTCGTAGCCACGACGTCGAATTTCATTTGAACTTTGAAATATCCGCGCCGGTGAAAGGTAGTCGTCGTCGTGTCAGGAAAACGCTGTCAGACTTTTCTCATTTCGAGGAGCGTAACGATCGATGATCAAAGCAAGAAATGTGCAAACCGTTCGAGACGTCGCGTCGTCTCAAACTGTCGAAGAAACTCCTTCGTGCCGCGTGGCATCGGGAAGGCTTCGGGAAGAAACGGCCGGGAAGAAAACTTTAGAGTAAGGGTTTCGTAGAAATAATTAATCGAACGTCGCGAGTTGTGAAAGCGATAGGTCGAGGTTGTCGTCCTCACCGCCGCCATTGTTGTCTCTCGTTGTGCGATTTCCTTCTTTCTCGTTCAACTTTGTCGACATTCTCACCGCGTGTTCGATTTCGCATAAAAGCCGACGCTGTTTTGCAGTTTTCATTCTTAGAAACTGGATACTCGGTCGGGAAGTAGTCGCCGGATTGTAGAAAATGTAAAAGCGCATTACCTCGCTGCAGTCCACAGAAAAGATATGCAACGAGGTATCTCAAAAATGTATTAAAATAGTAGTGTTCAAAATATAAACGCCGCGAGAAACAAAAGTCTATCGAGATATTCTCTAATTTACACGTAGTTATTCTGTTAATTTCTTAATTAAATATTTCATCAAGTATGTTTGTACGCATAATATACATTTTGCGTGATTTTTCATACATTTTTCTTTTTAGTCTTTTTAATGTATATTTCTATTTATTTTCTTCCTTTCCTTTCTTTTTATTTAAATATATAGTTAATATTTAATAAGATAATAAAGATAAATATTATACTTAATTATACTTAACACAATTCCAAATTATAAATTTACTTGTACGAATAATGTTTTAGTAAATCCTTTTACTGCTGTAGTGCATAATTACATGACTTGCCTTAAGGAGGTTATATGTATATATAAAATAATATAAATTCGCATTATATACATAATCCGTCTATATATTTCTCAATCAAATGTTATATACATTTTTATTTTTTTTTGTTATACATTTTTATGTTATAAAATTTTAATAATATAATTTTTATTCTTTTTTTTCTCCGTGATAACCAACTATTCTTTAACGAAAGATAAATACACTCAAGCTTTCGGGGGAGCACTTTTGCCCAATGTTTACAATTTGTGATTGTGTAGTATCGCGAGTATATTTTTTGTCCGTCTTTACACCCCCATTAACGTGAATTTCGCGGCCGTTTTGGAGAGATTACAAATATTTAAAGGCATTTGCATACTAATCGACGGCGCGCAGCCAAAGTGTCGGCACACTCGGATATTTTCCCTTTGGAAAATATTCATCTTTTGCATTATGAAACGCGTAATTTTCAAATCACGTGTCACAATAATAAAAAAATTATTCTTTGATTTATCACGCGGACTTTGTCGGCTCTTTAAAATGTGCACTTCATTTCACGTCGATTCGGGCGTGTCAACACGTGTGTACTTGTCGAGAGATTGGGTTTCGAGTTATCGGGAGTCTTGGTTTGTTAGTCTTCGGCCTTCCGTCTATGTCGCAAGTTTCCTATCTCGTTGACGCAGACAAGCTAAGTTTTCCCGTAAATATATCGATCATCTTGCGACGAGGAGCAGAGCTGTGTTTGGAATTTCGTTCGCAGAACCATGGATTTCGGGGATTTCCGGGTTACATATTCAATTCGGTTACACGGGATGACACGTTTAAAATTTTCTATACTTTTATTTCTCCTCGCAAAAATATTTGTCATTCGCAGGAAGGACCTGTCAAAAATTGATTTGATTGCCGGCATCTGTTTGCTGAATTGCTAAATTGTTTCAATCTGTGAATTGCAAAATAGTTTGTTAGTCGCTCATTGACTTAAAAAACTATATATATATATATGAAGAAAGGGACAGAAAGAGAGAAATATTCCGCAATATGAAGGTAGAAAATTTGTATGCGACGTCAAGTAGAAAGAATGCGGGAATAAATGACACGGTAGATTGTCAATCCATCGACGAGAAGTCGCTTTTTATGGCCTGCTACATAAAGTGATATCGTTGGTACTCTCGATTCTTCCGTGCGCTTCATGTCGTTTGCATGACGATATTGCATAAAAATCTGATGAAAAATGCATGAAATATGCAACATTGTAGACGCCGACGTCGACATTTGAAAGTCGTAAATGCTAAGATGGGCTGTTATGCAAACTTGTCGTTCTTTTCGATGCTGACAAATCTAAACGGATCATAACAACAAAAATGAAACTTCGGAATCAGATTCAGCGTATTCAATTGCTGCAATTTGTATATAAGTATGCTGTCTCTATCATTCGATTATTTCTATTTAAAAAATTGAAAAAATTGTTTATATCGTTTAATGGTGAATTTTATATAAGTTATACATTTCTTAGTAAAATACTCTATTGTTATATACTTTATTTCAGTTTAAAAAGTAAGTGAAAATAATCTTTTATAGAATAAATATAGAATAAGAGAAGATTGAAAACGAAAAAAATTAATTTATTCTGAGGAAATTTAAATATATAATTTTCTTAGAAAATGTAGATAAATTGCAAAGATATTGTAATATACATATTATGAGGTTTCTGCGGGAACCTTTTTTTTCATTTTCTTTTTATTTTACACCTTGGAACGCGTGCGATATTCAATGTGAGAACTTAAGAAACTAGGTTTGCTTTAAAAAGTTTTATCGAAAGTTACCGAAGCGGGATTATCGCCCTCTAAAGTGTTTCAGATAAATGACCGAAAAGGAGAGATAGGATTTTGCAGTGAATTACCATAACTTCGATCACAATAGGAAACTATCGGAAAACAGCCTGTTCCTCTCGCGCGTGTTTTCAAATGCAACGACCGCCTGCATCGATCATTCTCGGCGTTTACGCAATAAAAGATACGCTAAACAGATTTACGCGGCTAGGGTTGCCAGCATCGTCCTACAGATAAAATTGAAATTGCATGCCAATCATGCGCGCATCGTTTATTGGCGCGTCGAGTTGTAACATATTTTTTGTGTTGTCAGAAAGTGTACCGTAGAGAACGAAATCCTTTCTGCGTTGTTACCGGAATGTTCAATTACCGTGAAGTTACGAGAGACGCGTGAGCGCGTTGTGCGTGCGATTTATGCGCGAGTCAAACTTATCGGTCATTGAATATAAATTCACGTTGAAATGAACTGCCGGTAAATTTGTCGTGATTGTTCGGCGCTCGCGAAATACGATCGTCAATAAAATCTACGGTACTTGAAAATTCGTTTAAAAGCTTTCGCTTTACACGGCCCACAATTATTCTATCTGTGATATAAAGTGTCACGTGAAATAGAGAGCCGTATCTCGATAATGTTTGGATATCCAATAATATTATTTGATAAATATATAATATTTAGGGCAATAAATATTCCATATATACAATGTCAAAAACTTTAATCGGAAATCAAATAATATTTCAATATATAAATTTGCACATAGGATTTAGGATATTCCTGTTCTGAAAATATATACATCATACGATAAATTAGTAATGTAATTTCGTCGTGAATTGTAGATCGCGTAAAGTGAATTTAAACTGGAAAGGAACAACGTTAATGGAGCATCAATATCGCAGAGCGACTTAATTTCGTTCATTTATAGACGGTGGAAATGAACAAGTCACGTTTATATTATAGTCCATGTAGGCGCGGGATGTATGAAATTCAACGTTGCTGTGCAATTTTCAGCCGCGAATACTGGACAACCACTCTTGGTTGGCAGATGAAAATAGATTTATTTAAGCGTTATGCGTAAATGTGCGGTATTCTCCGTGAAATCGTGCGCGCACCAAGGGGCGATTATATTCACGCGAATAATCGCGAGCGTGTTACGTCTCGAGTGCTGCAACCCTTATCGGCATCATGCACACACGTGCGTACATACATATACATACGCGCTGCGTTGATGATAAGCGCAACAAAACATCACTGTCGTCCCTCTCTCTTTCTCTCTATCTCTCTCGCTCTCTCTCCGTATCTGTCACTCGTGAAGCGAATGCCACGATCCGAGAGTTTCGTTCGCCTAATCACCGCTCGTACCGAAAGCTACGTCATTGCCGTTGACAGCGGCATGCACTTGACACGCGCGGCGCAGGTTAAGTGTGTAATGTGTATAAATGGCCGCGTTACATCTTGGCGCGCTATTGTAAATTAAAAGCTAAAGGCAGATTATATGCAATTATTTTGATAGATTTTTTAGGAGCGTGTAATTTTATACGGTGTTGGAGAGAAAATTTACTTTTTTTCACAACTCAAATTAAAATCTGGGTTTCTTTTTAGCTTCTCGTGAAAATTACATACGGATAATTTTTAATCGAGAAATATTCAGAAAAGAAAAAATTAATTAATATCATGATTTTTAGTGTCACAAAGTCCGTTTCAGATCTATTCCCGTTGGTATTTACATGAATCGCGTGTTTGCGTAATGTTTACGAATGTGACAGTTGCTCGGAAGCAAAGACACGATAGTTCTAACACGACGGAAATTTAATTAAATCTAACGCGAAATGCGTATGTGAAGAGAGGACGTCATTATTCACATTGCGAACCATTTCGCTCGCTTAACTCTACAGGTGCTTTGTCACTGCCACGTGCAAAATACCAGAAACGACACTGCACACTTAATGGCTGGCTATTAAAATTATTTTTTAATCTTGCTCTGTCTATGTATTTATGTATCTAACAATAAGTATGATATAACGCGACGCGCCGTAACAAGAGAGCTCTCGAGAATTTTTTTAATAAATATTTAATATAAGGAGCGCGCTTTCTCCCTTTCCGTTTTAAGAATAATTCTTTCTCTATTTTTTTGTATTATACATTAGACATATTTAAAAAATTATTAGCAAATTCTGTTTATACTTGTTGTAAATATTAAAGTGTATCATAAAGTGTTGCATTACAGTAGAATTAAATATTTAGCTCTGAGTAATATACATTTTTGTAAAATACGAAGAATTACACGAAAACAATATAGTATAACTGATAGAATTTTTAAATATCAGTTTGCGAAGAATATATATATGATTTCGCAAGATTAACTCGAAATACCGTTTGTAACTATGGCTACATGAACCTAACGAATCGTGTTCGTTAATAGAGTGGGAAATATTGACAATTGACCTCATCGACTTCGATGTACGTCATTTAAAGAATAAAGAAAAAGAGAGAGAGAGATGTAAAAAGAGATTTCGTTCGTTCGATGTAGCGTTATGTAGTTGTGTATCGCGCCTTTGACGTTTACATAAATCATTGCCACAGGATCTGTTTTTCAAAAAATTTTTACGATTTTATACATGCTAGTTTTATATCGCATACATATCATGTTTCGGATTATGTGTTATTATCTTTATTTTAATTCTGGTTTTGTTGGATTATTGAGAATATCTTTTCGCAAAAAATTAAAATATAAATGAATTCTCCATCGGTGGATGCCGTTATCTCTTACGATCCAGAATAATGTGGGTATATGTGTGTGTGTGGTAAAACTCATTTAAAAATTGAAAAAAATATATTTTTTATAGGTATCAATAATTTCTCTATAAATACTATCTGAATAAAAAAAGCTATAGGATTATAATTAATTCAGTATTTATGTGTGTGCGAGGATTAAAATATGATTGATATCTTATATTTCTGAAAAGTATTTCTTGTAAACATAAAATCAAATTTCACCGTATAAAGCTGTTGTGTTTTAAATTTTTATATAAATTTAATACATATATATATATTTTTCAATCGAAGGCTTTTGCTTTTTATTGGAAATAATTATTGTTCGCGATATATATTTGAATATCTCTCTCGATCAATTTGCAAACGCGGTGCACGCGGCATATCACGCAACGCTGGATTACGGACGAAACAAACGTCGGGCAGTTTGACTCGTTACACCTGCGCCTAATCTAGGTGCTCTCGCGAGCGGCGAAACACTCTGCGGCGACTAATTCGCGGGGGTAGCTTCCGCTATTGTTACTCATTGCGAGCCAACGTTAACAATGCACCTGTCCCTTCCGACGAGTCTGTGTCGGTACACCGCGGTTTAATGCTGATGCACGAGCTGTACATTAACGACCAAGTCGAAACTACACGCCGCGACCGCTCGTAAATTCGCCCACGATATCGTCATGCTATACCGTGCTATATAGTTTCGAAACGATAACGCAAGAGCGTAAACGATTCTTTTCCTTCCTGTCTCCCGTGTATGCATAAGCGAATGCAGGCCGAACCGAGAGGTGAACGAATCATCGTGTAGTCGATCTATTTCTTTTTTCAAAATATATTTTAGACGTATTATAATTTTCGGGAGAGAATGCTGTATACTACGTATGATTTTAACGTAATTTTAATTACTTGTTGATTTGTAAATACAATTATGGATCTGTGTGAGTTGAAATTGCTAATTAGAAAGTTTTTATTTCTCTTTATTTCTCAGTTTGTTACTTTACGCGGCGTAATTAATTTACGTTATACGATCAACCGAGCGGCAAATAAAATCTTCCCTGTTACAGGCAAGAATAATGATATAAATGCACAAAATAAGGGCTCATGCGCGAAAAGAATCGCTCTTATATTTCATTGAACCGCGATAAAGGTTTCCCGTTATTAGAAATAAATTTGTTATATATATCCTGCGTTTATGAGAAATTGATTGCGAATTGATATCGCCTTGTAATTTCATTCCATGCTTTTCTTTCTTGCTTTTTCTATGCCTCTATAAACGCAGATACATATCGACAAGGCATGTTTAACGATTGGTGTAAAAGTCTGATTAGAAAACGATATCAAATAAAATAAAGAATAAAATTGGCGTTTTTTAAACCAACATTTTAGAAATATTTAGGACAGAAATGTCATTTATGGGGTGAAAAATAAAAGAAAACCACGTTCGAGAATAATTTATGTACTGTGCAAACTTACAACCTCGACTTGTCCCGGAATGGCAATTACTTTCGCTCTTTGGTAGAAGTAACTTTCTATCGGTGTGTGTTTACAACGTATGTACACCGTTGTTCGTCGCATGATGTACTTTGGTGATTGTAATTTCTTTTCTTGAACCGCAAGTATTTCATTTTAAAGTTTTCGTCGACTTCCTTCTCTTCCCTTCGGACTCAGTTGTGGTCTCCTCTGCGAAAATCGAGAGATTGCGGAGAGTGAATTACTGCGCATCTGTGTAACTTTCATTTGACAGTTACTGAGTAAATTTCACTCGGATGTGTGACGAAATTACATATTCATAAAGATAGTAAATGTTAACAGTTAGTATTGAATTTGTTAATAAATGTAATCGCTTTGTATGAAGGATATATTAAAGAGATATTTGATAACGTATAATGTTGTGTAACATTATATATATTTTATTTATTTATGTATTTTTATTACATAGTTTTTGAATATTATATGAGATATCGGAGAAAAGAGCGAACAAGGAAAGTTGAATTATCGTTTGTAAACAATTATATTTAATAATTCTTTTACAATTATATATTGTTATACATATATTAAATGGACAAATTTAAATTATATTTAGCAACATAATGCTACAAATTAAAGTTTTTATTAAAATATGTTTACACAAAGTAAATCTATGTTTATGGAGTTTAGTTTCTGAAGAAAGTTGGACATCCGGAATTGACGCGTGAGAATTATATTTTCTCAATCATTTTTCTTAAAAAAAAAAAAAAAAAAAAAGGCAATAAATCGAAGATTCGAAGATATTTAACGCAAAGTGTCGTGTAAAAGCACATTAATATCCGTTTCCGCCATAGGTTATTGTGAAACATTACTACAGTATCCGTTTATATGAGCCAATCGCATTTTAAATCAGATATTTCCATTCACAGATACGTTATATACGATCCATTCGTTTTGTTTGTAAAACACTTGCACCTTATAATTCATTCACACGCATTAACTAAACAAGCATGATTGTGGTGTCACGTGTGTTGTCGGCCGTAAATAGATGCATTACCGTAACATATGTGAAGATATATATACATGAATATATAAGCATCTCGATTTAGACAATGTTATTTTCAGCTATCGCGATTAATTAAATTCAAAGATTATAATTGTAATATAATAATTTTAAATAAATGATAATTGTTTTTATTTTCTCAAGTTTATATGCATTGTTTTGCAAATTATACTAATGCAATATCTATGATAAGAAATATTACAAAAAATAGATTCTTTTTTATATATAAATAATTATTTCTTTAAAAATAAATTAACTTGAAAATTAATTAGCTGTTAATAGATTAAATTATGAGTCGAATCACGGCATTATTTAATGGAATTTTATATTGATTGACACTTTAACAAGTCAATAATTTTCTCAATTCATTTCAAGACTTGCGATATTTAATCTATTTGATTTGATTTAATTAAAGTTTCACGTTTTGTTACAATATTTTTATTGTGATATTCGTTTTTGTTTGGGCTTTTCACTCTGCACAGCCACACATTGTTTGGGTTTTATTAGTTGCAGAAATTATCGGGTGCGAATGTTCAGTTAAATATATCGAGGGACAGTGTTGCGTTCTGTGGTGTAAAGGTAACAATGGCTAAAGTAAATAAAGCTCAGCTGAATTTCTGGCTGGAGCTACCGCACTGTACACAACAAACTTTTTGTTAACAGTTTTCGCGAAGAGTTGCATTTCGCGTACGTGTACGAAATGTGTATTCTGCGTCGATTGTGGTTTGTGCACGAAAAATACATTCATTGGAAATACGAAGCGATATATACGGTTTACAATCTGGGCGGTCGTAAAATATCCTGCAATTGATTACTGTACGCTACATTGTTATTTACGATGAAAAGACTTAATTTTTCAAATTAATCACAATCATATTGATTTTTGTTTTTGTTACGATAGAATACGTAATTACAGTTATGCCAATATGCGGAAATATATATTACATTAATATCGATTTTTGTACGTTGAATAAAATATAGAATTTATCACTATATATAGGTATATTCACACGGACAAAATTATCGGGGGCAACAAAATTAAATAATGTTGGCGAGTATAGGAAATTTCGATACCTTGCAGTCGTAGAATTGTTCCGTTGTTCGTCGCGGTCGGGTTGATTAATAAATCTCGCCGGTTATTAGCGCTCCATTCAATTAATTTGGAGCGCATTAATGAGGAGGAGAGAACGACGATGCGACGATATGCGAGATCTCGGCGGGATCGATGGCCGCCGTTCACACGTGTCGTCGCCGCGCAACTACTGTACGAATGCGCGACGTGGAATTGCATGCGGATGATTTCATTTCGGTTTACGTGAGTTTGCATACGTCCAAGGCCGTCGAGCGTATCCACCGGCACGTATCGGTCCGCCGATGTTGTCCGCGGCTCTAACCAAGGCGCGTAAAATGCAAACTGCCGGGCCTTGCGTCCGCAAAGCGAAAGTCCGAATGCGGGATTTTGTGTAACGGAGAACGCGTGATACGATACCAAAAAAAAAAAAAGCTACGGTATATTCGGGAATTGCGATTAACTCTACCGATCACGTTCAAATATAAAAATCTGTGCACGCTCGAGAAGATTGAAAGATATTTTTACATACATATCCGAAAAAAACAGGTTGTCGCGTGTATAATTGATCTTCTGTCTACATATGTGATAAGAATATATATTTGATGAAAAAATTTGAAATCTAAATTATCTCAGAGGTATACACAGATACTGACGTATAATAACGGAACTTGCATCATATTCAGCGTGAGAAAAAAAAATAGAGAAGGAAAGAAGAATTGAATATATTTTTATTTGATTTTTTTTTATTTACATAGTTATGACATAGTGATTTTTTTATGCGCAAATATATGGAAACCATTTATTCGTCTCCATTAACGGGAAGCATTTTGCGGCGATCGATTGTTCTGTAACGATCGAAATTGCCGTGCGCGAATTTATTTCTTCCACGATACATCGGCTCGTGCTCTATTGTGTTGCGCGATCACGTGAAACAGAATTAATCGCGATGTATCGCTATCACGCGAGTTTTTTCGCTATCGCGTTCATCGGCGTCGCGTCGAGAGTGTAATAGGGCTTGTAACACGGGAAGGCAAAACGAAGAATAAGAAGATCGTTATTTTAAAGTCGAAGTTCGATGAGAAAGAAAACGCGTATATAGGTATATAGGTTAATGAACGTGCGGTTATTCGTGCAAGTAAATGTAAAACAAAATTAAAAAAGATCAAGGTACCACACGATAATGGATTTGACTTATAGAAGTACTTTTTAAAATTATTACGCGTAAAAGAGAGAAGAGAATTAAAAAAATTTTTCAACAATTTTGTACATTTTTTCCAACTGCTTTGAAAGGAAATTATTCTCATAAATATTCTATGTATAATGATTAAAGGTCTCTTTTTCTTTTTATCTCAATTGAAAAAAAAAATATATATATATCTGCCTATAATTAATAACTATTGCATATAAAACGTTGTGATTTTATTTATTCGTTTTATTCGATAACTCATATTTTATCACTGTATCGCCATCAAATGCGGTATTGATGCATCGGCCGGTCTCAGTATTATTGTGTGTTCTTCCTGCATGGAAGAATCGTCGCCAACAAGAAGATCATTAAATAACAGGCGAAAGAATGCGATAGGCGGGCGATCGTTAATCTCGATAGATCATGTCGAGCGCATCGATAGCGATGAATCATACCTCCAGAGCGTAGTCGAAGCAATCCATCATCGGCCGTAGTAACGAACTGGGTTAATAATGGCGTAAACGTTGCCAGGATGAATGTGTAAAAGGGATCCAGAAGTCGTCCTGTGCGCGCAAACCATTAGCGAATTGAACGCAATATGCAATTATATCCCTTGCACATATCCTTGCTGCCGCTACTATATCATTTCCGCTGTTGCTTCTCACGCTTCTCGTTCGTCGATTTTTCATGTGTACCTTTTCCTTGCGACGCGGCGTGAAAACATTTGGTGATATTCGGGCGAGAAAAGAAGCGCGATGACGCGGTGAGATGTTACATCGTGTTGCCTTTATTAAGAGTGTAAAAGTCATTTTGGCGCGTCTCGTTTACGCAAGTTATTTCTCAAAGCCACCCCTTAGGATGAGATATGTCTCGAATATTTTTCTGAGAAAATTCATGGCGGTACTGGGGAAAAAAGAACGAAATTTTAATCGAGATATCTTAGGATAATCATACTTTGTCATATATATGCAATGATTTTGATTAGAACAATAATTTCAGATAAATATACTTTTTATTAGAATGTGAATTTGGTTTAAAGTAAACCGCTATTTATAATTTTTTTCAGCCGCGGACTAATGCAGTTATAAAAGTTGCTTCATATTTAGTGTCAGACTTAAATATTGATTTCTGGAAAGAGGGAGATTTATAAATGTAACGCGCACGCATATATATATATACACATATGTATGTACATATATAAGTATACATAGGATTTAACAATTAACCATCTCGAGATGAATTATCGTACGGACGAGAGTAAAAAAACATAAACGATAATGAACCTGTTTCGCTGCGCCGCGTTTTCTGAAAATAATTACTCTGGAAATTGATATTCGCGTTGTGTTAATAATCAATAAATAGTCAGTTTATTATCGAGAGCGCGTCGCGGGTATGAAATTCTGTTAAAATAGTTGGCACTGTGTGTTATGTTCAATTGACACACAGGAGAATTTCGAAGGGTATCCTCACGGGGCAAAACTGTGTTAATGCATGGAGGGTTCGCCCACGTGTTTATCGTGTGTCGTATTGCTCGCGGCAGATTGCGTACAATGCAGTTAGGATGCATATTGCATCAGCTGAGGTTACCGATATTCTGACGAGAGTGCACTTGGCGAAAGTACGGCAATATAACGATTAATTATATATTAGGAACATTTATTTACGATCTCGAAAGATTTGAGGAATGTTTGAAAAAATGCGGATACGTTCCTTTTTATAATAAAGGCTTCGTTAATAAATCTGCGTGTTAAACATAGTATTTAATAATTTAGTCGCGCTTTAATAATCTTTTTTTTCTAAGGTCTTTATTAATCTGCTAATTTTAAAATGTATATTTCCGACGAAAATAACACGTAAGATTTAACTAAACTTGAATCATCTTTTGTATATGAATAAAAATTGCGATACAATCTTCTATATATCATATCTTTTATATATATATATATATATATATATATATATATATCTTTTTTTTATATTTATTATATATTATATCATACTATTCTATTGCACGTAGAAATCGATCAATACGATTCATGAGTCACGTTTTCATTTCCAAACCGAGATATTGTTTGCCAAAATATTTGAGTAAAATATTTTAAACAAACCTGAACGGTTTATGTTGATTTTAAACCGAGGAAGCATCCAACTGAATACTCAATATTTGAAAATATAAAATTGTATGAAAAAAAAAGTAGCGCGATGAACAACGCGTTCATTTGGAAGTACGGAATATTCTTGTCACGGGTTGAGAAATTAAAAGCCTGTCCTCGAACTAACGAATCGCGAATTTCGAACAAGTACGACATGCACAGCCGAGAAACTCTATTACATAAGTAAAGTCTATCGATTCTTAACCGAACATGGAATTTATAACATTTATTAAAACCTTCATTATCATTATGCTTAACATTTTATTATCAATTACTTATCAATTAATTGATAAGTATTATTTTATTAATAATGATTAAAATCTTAACGAGAAATCCTTTTATACTGGTGAATACATATCGACGAAATAAATGTAATAATTACATTATGTTAAATAAAAAAAAGTTAATAATTCTCATACCAAGTATTTTCTCATAATCAGTATCGCTATTTTAATCGTTGCTCTTGATTAGATAACCGAACTCTGTGCAATTGTTTAGTATTGTGAGTGGAAGGCCAGAATTTGCGGTTCGTTCCCGCTGGGCAAAACTGTGTTAACGCGCCGTATTCGTCGTCATATTAGTCGCGCATATTACCCACAATGCAGTTAGAATCTATGCATCTACCCACAATGGGTCAGTGACGGTTTCTACGTGCTCCGGGAACAGTCGGGGAAACGAGCAATTACCGTTCAGCCCGGAGGGGGCTGCTGGAATTTATGGGTAGATCCCCCTTAAGCAACCTTTTCAGCGCACGATCCTGGAATTTCCCGAAAGACGAAGAGATTCCTTCTCCTTATGGGACTGCGCACACGAGAGGCATCCCTCTTGATGCACTTTATCGTACTCGGAAGACTTATCCGCGTATTAATTTTATTAATGATTTTTTTCAATTAGAGTTCGAGAGAAATAATTGTTCAAAATTTGAAAGATCTTTCTTCTTACTAATTAATTAATTAATATTCCAGAAAGAATTTTCAAATTGTATTATACAGCTATGAAATATTAATTTTACTTTTCGTACTCTTTAATTTTCAAGAGATGTGTTTGAATACATAATTCGATATTTTACAGTTCACTTGTTATAATTTCGAAGTGAATGTCTTATTTAATATTAATTTCGCACGATAGTTATTTTAGTGAAATATTTTAAAGATTTTTTTAAAGAGATTCTTTTTATGATGGTGACAATCAGTCGGTATGTGTCTAAAAAAAAAAAAAAAACTGGTTTTTGCTTCGTTGGCAGATCTGCCACCGCAGCAAAACGTATGCAATCATAAAGTTTCACGATTGTTCCCTTTTTTCCCCCGACGCGACTACTTGTCTCAATTTGTTTCTACTTTTTCGCGAGCGCGCTGCAGATATTTTACGCATTTCCATCGTGCGTGCGTGCATCTGTCGCTGACGCGAATGCATATTCGACCCAGATGCATGACGCAGTTCTCATTCGATGCAGGATGCTCTAAAGCGACGGGTTACGATTCTGCGGAAGTTATGACGATACTATCGAACGCTATTTGTCCGCGAATGCCGATGCGCAATATTCTCTCCTCGAATGCGGATTAAGATTTCGCATTGAGATCGGATATATAGAATTCGCTTTGTAGCTTGTACCTTATGAAATGCAATTTATTATTAATTATGATATACGCAGATAGATGTTTATCTTTAGCATGCAGAGCGAATATCGATATAGAATTTCAAGAAGCATATTTCATTCGTAAATAATATTGACTGTATTATTTATTGCTATAGTTATTATATATCAAATAATTTCGCTGTATTTATTCTAAAAGATGAAAGAGAGAAGTACGTGATATTATCGTTTTTAATGTTA